GCTGCAAAAACAGCACGAGGACATGAAGGCCCACGAGATGATCGTGGCCTTGCGGCAGCTATACCAGGGGCAATCCAGGCATGAACGTTTTCTCGTGAGTAAGGCTCTCTTTAGTTGCAAGCTATCTTCAGGGAACCCGGTCGGTCCGCACGTTCTCAAAATGATTGGTTACATAACCAATCTGGAGAAACTCGGGTTCTCCTTGCAGAAGGAGTTGGCAACGGACCTGATCCTGCAGTCGCTCCCTGAGCTGTATAAGGGTTTTGTCATGAACTACATGATGCATGATCTTGACAAACCCCTCCCGGAGCTTCTTAAAATGCTCCAGACTGCAGAGGAGAACCTTACTAAGGGCTAGGGTGCTTCCGTCCTTATGGTCCAAGGCGGAAAGGGGAAGCCGAAGAAGGGGATTAAGATTAAGGCTGGGACGGTCGGAAAGCTTAAATCGAAGTCCACTTCATCTGTAACCCAGAAACCCATAGGAGGAGTTGCAAAGGGCAAATGTCATCACTGTGGTAAGGCAGGCCACTAGAGAAGAAACTGCAAGACATACCTCGCAACCAAGAAGAAGGAAGGTACGACCATTTCTTCTGAGGTGTATGTTATAGAAGTTAACATGTCTATATCTTCATCATGGGTACTAGATACTGGATGTGGGTCTCATATCTGTACTACCATGCAGGGACTGAAGCAGAGTAGACGGTTAGCTCGAGGCGAGATTAAACTCCGAGTCGGCAATGGTGCACCTGTTGCAGCTTTGGCAATCGGAACTTATAGTTTAGTCTTGCCTAGTGGTCTAATTTTGGAATTAAACGATTGCTTGTACGTTCCTGCAATTAGCAGAAACATTATTTCTGTTTCATGTCTTGATAAGAGTGATTTCATCATTTCTATTAAAGACAAGTCCCTTTCAGTTTACAGAAAGAATGTTTTCTATGCTAATGCCAACATGACCAATGGGTTATATGTCCTTGACTTGGACATGCCTGTCTATAACATATCAGCCAAGAGGAACAAACCGAACGGTTTGAACCAAACATACCTATGGCATTGTAGGTTAGACCATATAAACGAGAAACGCATATCCAAGCTACATCGGTCGGGAATGCTGGACTCATTTGATCTTGAATCATATGACACATGCGAATCTTGTTTATTGGGTAAGATGACCAAATCTCCTTTCACCGGACACGGTGAAAGAGCTGGTGATCTTCTGGCACTCATTCATAGTGATGTGTGCGGGCCTTTCAATACAATTGCACGAGGTGGTTATTCATACTTCATCACTTTTACTGATGACCTCAGTAGATATGGCTATGTGTATCTCATGAAACACAAGTCAGAATCCTTTGAAATGTTCAAAGAATTCAGGAATGAAGTTGAAAAACAACTTGGCAAAAGTATTAAAACACTACGATCCGATCGAGGTGGAGAATACTTAAGTGGTGAGTTCGATGACTATCTTAGAGAGCATGGGATTTTATCCCAACTCACACCTCCTGGGACTCCACAATGGAATGGTGTCTCTGAAAGGAGGAATCGAACCCTGCTTGACATGGTTCGTTCTATGATGGGTCATTCGACTCTACCAGAATCATTCTGGGGGTATGCGCTGAGCACTGCAATATATACTCTTAACCGAGTTCCAACCAAGGCGGTTGAAGGAACACCATACCAGCTATGGACGGGCAAATGCCCGGTTCTGTCACACTTAAAGATTTGGGGCTGTGAGGCTTATGTCAAACGTCTT